AGGATACCGGATTGTTACAAAGGTAGTTAAAAATATGACTGCTGCTAGCTTAGAGTAGAAAAAATAAAAGTATGAGATGGGAAAAGGCAGAAGAGCTTGTAAGTATAAATGGTTGGAGATAAATAATTCTGACAATATGACAGACCAACATTTTAAAATACACTATTCTGTAATCTGTGATGAATATAAGAATATGTCAGCAATTAGATCTTGGTTCAGGAGAAAGAAAACTGTAAAGCACCTAAGAACATGTAGATAGTAAGTTCATTTTCAATTCTATTTTTTAAAAAGTCATAGAATGATGTATTACCAGTTCCTATAAGGAAAATGTTAAGACTTTAAAACATACTCTGACTGAGAAGCCTATTACTGCTCCATTTAATTATTAGGATACTTTTCAAAACTAATCTTTTTGAGTGATTAGTTCAGAACATTTGGTTGGTTTTGATTTTCAAGACTGCATGCTGTGTGAGTCAATGCAGACCTCTCCTGTGTGAACTACTGGTAGCTGTGTGAGCTGGCAAAAACTTAAAAATGTACAAATCTTCTTCTGAAACAAACACTTGGAAGGTTCAGTCCTCTGCTTCCTGAACATTAGAAGCAAATGGAGAGAAAAAACCAAGAATATTTAAGTGTTATGCCATATTTATGTATCTGTTCAGAAAAGGAATTAAATGTAACCCTAAATCTCTGGATCAGGTTAAAATCATGAATAATAAACATACAGATACAAGGGGCTTTTTTGTTAGAGAATAAATAATAACCTTCTAGTTTATTAAGGTTTTTTTAGTTACCTGAAGTGGCAAGACTTACTGCTAACAAGAAATATGCCTTTCTTGGAAATGTACTTTTGCTGTAGTGTAAATAAAAAAATTCAAAGAGAAATTCTGACATCTGAGTATTTCATCAATTTCTTACAGAAGAAAAATATTTTTTATGACGGAATATCAGTACCATGGTAGAAATTAGATAATCTACCTCAACATTTTAAAGAAAAAAAACAAGGTAGTTCTCAAGAAATATGACAATCCAGTGAAGACTGCACTTCCATTCATATTCAGTTATTTCATTATAGTACTTACAAAATAGATTCGTGGAAGTTAAAGGCTCCAGCAAAAAATCACTTTGTCTATACAAATCACATATACATTTTCTAAACTGTTTATAAAAAACAACCTCGAATAAATTTAAAACCAATGCAATGCATTTATGCATTTCTTCTTTTAGAATAGGGTATTTTTACACCAAGTGATGCATGACAAACCACTTACCAGGTTCCCCACGGAAAGCACACTGCTAAACTGTTCTGTCATTGGGTAATGTTCCATGGCCATAAACAAGGTGTTTAAAACAATGCAAATAGTTATAGCAAGATCAACAAATGGATCCATCACAACTAAATTGACGACGTGTTTTACTTTTAACCATGGACTCCAGCAATCCCAGATCAAGAAAGTATTTGCAAATCTGTACCAGCATGGTGGGCATTTCTGTCTGGATTCTTCAAGCTCTGAAAAAAAAAAATAGAAAAAAATTAACAAATAATGAATATTCCAATTATATCCTCTGGAAGTTCTTGTTCAAAAAATGTAAAAATATCAAATCATTAAATTAAACAGCTCACACTAACATGGGATTTCCCTCACCTATGTTTAACCATCTTAAAGTTAAGCATCTAATTTATTTAAGCTCCTCTACAGTCAATGGACAGTGAAGTTATCTCTAAAGAGTGAATCATCTCAGACATCTATCTAAAGAGAGAAATGTGTTTGTCTCTTTCCCATGACAGTAGGGAGAGTCTAGACATTTAGTTTAGGTTAGTTGACTCGCTTACAGCAGATGTCTTAATTTTGGGTATTAAAAGTTAACATGACTCCATTTTTAGTGAGCTGATACATATAATTAGTATAAGCTTCAGAAAATATAAAATTTTTGTGTTAAGTATGTAACGTGTACATATTTTGATCTGAGCTACTAGAAGTATTATATTTGCTACTACATTGAACCACTACAATATCATAACAGATAAATGACTTGGTCACATACCTATCATTGCTTGTTTCAATCAATATTTTTAATATACAGAATGCCTGTTTTCTTACTTTAAAAATTATCATTTGACTTTAAAAATGTCTGGTATAGTTGCAATGTCTATCCATTGAGAAACAGAACAACAACATTAGTATTAGCAGAACAAATCTGCTCTCAATCAGAATCTTTACAAACTATTTTTTCTTCCATTTCATTGTCAATATTGTCAAAGTTACAGAAGGGAAATAACTCCTATTGAGTTAATAATAGCGAGGATGAATGTCTCATGTGATGGGATGTTTGAGGACAGCCCAGAAGGAAGATTGATATTTGCTTAAGTGAGAAATACTTAGACTACAAAACATGTAAGACATGGCCACAACAGTTTTGATAATATTTCTGTATAGTGGCATCAACCCAAATCTGAAATTTGCCAGTTTCCAGACAACCCTTAGAGCACAGGGAGGTGTCCATCATGATGACACTGATGGGTGATTTTGCTAAAATAGCAAACATGCTCTTTTACAGTATTTGCTAATAAGGATTTAGTGCTAAACTCTACCTTTGAGGACCAGTGGATTGATTTTTGCCTCTAATGTTGTCCTATATGTGTGGAAAAGGTCAGTTTCCACAGTTCTCAAACTCATTGAAACTAACAAGCTCTCCCATTACACCAGACTGTAGCCTCCAGGCAGAAAAGGGTATCATAAGCAGTGAAAGTTTTCTATAATCTTTATAAACCCTTACAAAGAAAGTGCTTCCAAAGGAATATATGGACTGAGTGGAATAATCACATTTCTGAACATGTAACTCAGAGTGGTGACAAGTAGGATGGGACTGGCCTTGGACAAAAGTGGCCACTCACACTGGACGCTGAGTTGGCACAGAAGACTGCATTGCTTGCACTTAGCAAGTTTCAATATTTCAATTCTGACTTAAAGTAGTCTTAAGAACACTGTAAATTTTCTTATCCTTTTAGAATATTTGTTGTAGGACATCGACAGGATTTGTCTGATTATAACAGCCGTCACACTGCACCAGTATCCAGTAGACAGATCCTTTAAGTTTATAAAAATATTTTAATGGCATATGTATGAAGTGTAAGTTTACTCAGTTTCCATTAAATAAGCAAAACAATTCCAACAATGTATGCTTTTTCATACAGTAAATATAGTATTTTTTTACCTTTGATATGCTTACCTAAGAAAGTTTATGAAATGTTGAAGGAAGGCAGTTCATGTGCATTGGCATGGGTTGATTACAGTTGTTTCTTTAAAACTATTTTTCTCATTCCAATTTCCTGTTGTCTATCCTTAGATTTTAAGTCTAAGGTAAATGACTGTTCGAGCCTATCATTGCCTTTAACATAGCGATTCCTGTGTATATTAATTGAATTTTCCTGTTGATGTCTTATAGGAAGTAAATCCCTGTATTCTCTGAGGCTCTGGCAGGACCTAGCCACGATTTTTTTGTCCACTCAATAGTGTAATATTTTGGAAGGTGTCATGAAAATAAATGACTAAGCATTTAGAGTGTGTAAACAATCCTAAAAATGCTCAAAAGCCTTTTGTATCTGATCAGACATTTCACATGTCCAGTTTTACATTTACAAAGGAAATTATGTAAATAACTGCTCTGTACATGTAGTTAGCAGAAATTCACTGAACTGCCTGTCAGAAAAAATACATCAAATACCTTCCATTGTATTTGTAAGTATGCTGGCTATACTCATTGCTCTTTGTCTTGCCGCAGAATCTTCCAGCATTTCCATGGAAATTTGATAAGAACTCAGTCTTCTTTTTCTTATTTCTGTTTCTGTAGTGGTGCCCTGTAAATGAAATGCTGAGGAATTAAACCAACATTTTCAACAGCCAATTAACAATATTTACTGTGTATAGTGATAATAAAAATCAGCTTTGTACGGCGTACTAAACTTTTCTTACACACTGAAGGTTTCTGTTCCTGTAGTAACGTCTTTGTTCATTATCGAGGAACTTGGTAAAAATTTTGGACAGTGCTACAAATAACTGGGGAACACATTACCAAGGCAATGTGGGACTAAAGGTGGTTCTTATTTAAATGACTGAGTGAACAGAATTTTTGCTAGGTATCATTTTACTAGTGATTATTATTATTCTTTCAAGAAAAAATGATCAAAATTGAAACCTGTCACTTTAATTTCCAGCATCTAGTCATGTTAAATAATTAAAATGCGAGTACAGAAAGAAGTGAACTATTATTTAAGAAAGTAACTTTGATACAAGAAACATGAGTATAATTCTAGGAATGAATTGTCTCTCTAATACTAGGTACTGCATCCCTAACCTGGTAAGTGTGGTTGGAAAATTTCATATGAGAAAAAAACCCACATCTTACTTAATATTTCTTCTACCTAGTTCTCATCCACTGCAATGCTCATGCAGAATTTGTGATATATTCTTGCAATATCTGCAATTCCCCTCTGTTTTTTATGGCTTCTAATTATCTTTTCAAAGCAATAAAACCCAGCTCTGATTTAAACATGCCTAACATGTCACTGTGTCATGTAGGTGTCCTTACAGTTGCTTTGCTTTTCTTCTCATGTGTGGTTTAGGGATCTAAATACAGGAGTGGGATTAAAAAATTCCTAAATCTTGGTTCCTGCTCTACCACTTATTCTGTGATTCATGGAAAACATCCGCACTTTTCATCATTATTCTGTCCCCATCCAGAAAAAGAATAAAAAAGCTTGCAGAACTCATGAGGGATTTCAAGGTTATCTTAGGTGAAGGTGAAAAACCATTTTCAAATATTCACTAGTACTGTTTCTTTAGAGAAGACTCTTGAATTAAATGGCTAATCTTTTTTCAAGTGAATGTACTTCGGAAATAGAACTATACGCGCATAGTCTCTGAGGTAATTGATTGAATTTCTGGTATGAAGGTCTATATCAAGATAGGAGAGAAACAAAAGTAAAAAGAAATGTGTAACAGTAGTAATGAAATCTCAATACTTATTTATAACAAAAATATTTTTCAGGTTAAATACAGTGCTTTTATAGCCACCAAAATACCTTACGGAATCCATATTAAAATACTATCTATGAAAAAGCTTGCTTTTTGAAAGTTTGAAAGAACATCTTAGCTTACAGAAGTCTGAAACTAAGACTGAAAATGCAATTGCAAAGGTACATAGGAATTGTATGTATTTTCCTCATGAAAGTTATGAGAAAAATTTCTTCAAGATAAATTCAGTAAGAGGTATTTCTGTTAACTATTGTGGGAGTAGTAAAGCATTCTGCTTAGTTTTGCAAGTGTTTTCTTATACATATTTCCAAGTTATATCCTTAGTTATGTATCAAATATCTACCTTTGTTGACAAGGTGAAACTATATATAAATTTTCAAATTCCATTTATGTTTTTTTCTTTCTATGTGCAGATCTCTTGCTGAAGGCAAGGAGAATATAATATTTTACTGAGGCTCAGGCATAGGAGGCTAAGGACTTTTTTCCTCTTATGTTCTGTTATTTAGAAACTATTGCAAGTTATTTCTCATAGCTCTGAGAAATGATAAGGCATGCAGAGGTGGGCATAAGAAAAAATTCCGTGCCTGAACCAAACTGTAATAATTTCTGATTTACTTATAATTACCTCTGGTATAAGGTGACCAGTAGGTGAAGTTAGAGTTGAAGGTCCTCCAACCAAGGAAACTACTCCATTGCAATCCACAGTGCTGTGCATCTTCCCATTTACAGGAAGGGCTGATACCATTCTAGATGACACACTCGCCTGACTAATATTACTGTTGCGCCGTTCTCCATGTCGATTTGGAACAAAGAGAGAATCTCTTCTGCTCTCATTGTCTTCAAGAGTGCTGTGCTCATCATCAGCAAAGTCATTTTCTGATCCTATGTCCTTTGCACGACCTCTGAAACTGAAAATGCTTGTTTTGCTGTTTCGCCTTGGTGAGAACAGGGAACCACGAATGCTTAGCAGAGACTGTAAAGGATTTAAAACAAACCAAAACAAAACAGCATTAGAACTGAAATTCTAATTTCTTGGCTTTTCAAAGAATAGTCACAGTGCTGGAGGAAGGATAGTCACTTTTTGCTTCAATATTACCAGTGTGTCCATTAGAGGAATGTGCTCATTAGGGGACCTGAAGTAGAGGGGAAAAATTCTTTTTAAGGTAATGTCACAGGAATGAGGAAAAGTTGCGCAGAAGATGTAAGTAAGGTCAGACAGTTTTGAGCAAAGCAGGTGGAATTGGTATGGACCCATGACTGTGCTGGAGACCTTTCTCAACATCACTATCAGGATTTATCTTTTATTCCTTCTTGTATTAGAGGACAGAGCTAAAAATCTGCTTTTCTTCCCTTCTTCGTTCCCTGGATTCCTAGGGATAACTAACTAGGGATAATAACTCTCACTGATCATTATTTTCTATTCTATTTGCTAGAGGCAGAAGTGGTCTTAACTTTGGTATTAAATTCAGTCTAAGTTGATGTAAAGTAATTGTCTGCCCACTTCACAATAGGCTCTACAGTGTGGGAACAACATATGCAGTGCTCTAAAACCAGAGACAGAAGCAACAGTTTGGGGAAGGTCTGGAGGTACAGTGTGAACATGACTAGTAACACTATTTGGTATAGCACTCTAGGGGCTATAGCAGGCTGCGCACCTACCAGAAGGTACCACTTGGCCATCAGGCAGCTCAAAGCAAGCATGTACCAGGGACACAGTTACCTAAAGATATCCTCTTACAAATGAGAAAAATAAATCAGTGGTTGTTGGTAATTCATCTTTTAATTACAGTAGAATCTGGTTAATGGAATTTTCTTCTCCCTTGCTACATATTTTATTAAAAGCATTCATGAATAAATAAAATGAGTACTAATTGTGGAAAAAAGAAACCTTGCATTAAGCTTTCTTCAATTCTGCATTTGTACAAATATCTGCAACTTAGTACATCAAAAACCTAGTTTGAGATGATTTTCAATTTTTCACTAGTTTTGCAGGTGGAAAGTGCTCGTATGTAATAGCAGTGGTTTCTATCCCAGGAAAATAAAGTGGAAGTGAAAACTGCACTATAATATATAAGCCTACATTAATGCTGTGAAAACCAAACACTGGATATATACATATATTAATCCATATGTATCTCTGTATATGCATACTCAGATTTATATATACAAACATATAATGTGTGTCCTGAACTGGTAGCAGTGCCTGTTATAAAGGCTGGCAGGTGTTTACCATTGTGAGATGTATTTTTTCTGTTCATACAGCTATACCAAATTTTAATAACTTGGGCTGAAATTTTCTATGCTGGCTGTCAGCCTCAGGCTGAGTTACTTGAAGAATATCAGCCAAATAGTTTTGCTAACCCATTTATGTAAACTTGGCTGGAGAAAAAGTGCTGTTTTGCTTATGGTGAAAGATAATTTTATCTAAAAGAGCTCTAGCTGCTATGGAGCATGACACTCAATTCTGACAATGTGGTAAACTCATTACTGCACCCTTTGTACATTTCTTTGCAAATATATTTGGCCAACCTACAGTCCTTCAAAAAATCAAACACTTACTAGATTTCATCTGACTACCACTGCTACCCACGTTTTTTTAGAGAATGTTTCCACGGCTGCTGTGTTTTGTGTGTAGTCCAGACTTTCCAATATGTGTTACATGCCCCAAACACAGCTAAATGGATCAGGCCTCTCAGGGATTTGGGAGGAGTAATGCCTGCGCTGCAAGTCTCTGCTGGATTGAGATAAAAGATATAAGCCAAAACGGCTGCAATTCTAACACATGTAGAGGCAGAAATATATGTGTCTACATGCTCCTGGAAAGCAAGGTCTGAAAGGAAAGCTTGGCTTTTCTTGCAGGCTGTATCATTCATTTGCACATGGAATACTGATTAAAGAACAAACCCTCTACAGGGGACGACTCGGCAGTTTATCTCCCCTTACCATTCTACTGTGTCGTTTCATCTCTGCCACCATGTTTCACCAGGAGGCTAACTGCATGGCTAACAAGACAAACCAGTTCTTCCTTTATCAGTTCTGCTGCCTGTAATCCTCCCACTCTCGTGGCAGCTCAGTTTTATTTCAGTTATATGCAAGCAACATTTGCCTCAAAGCATTTTTACAACTGCAAAAACAATTACCAAGACAGTTTTTAATTAATAAATTATCCTCAATTAGATTATTTGGTTGATACAAGTCGCTTTGTATTTTAAAATTCTAAATTAATTTTATAAAACAGTATTTCAGATGGTCACTGATTTCCTTCCTGCTGTGTAATTCATGACGTCTCAAGATGAGCTATTTCCTGTCTATTGCACCATTTCCTCCTTTTCTTTCAGATCCAAGAATATTTGTTTTCATTTGATTTTAATGAATTACAATTATCTATTATGCAACATGAATTCACATTTAATTGTAATGATATCAAAATGCCTTGCTTCTTAAGTTTCTGCGGGTTTCACAGTTCTTCATGACAATTGACAGGATGAAAGCTTTCTGAGAATTCCAGGGTATTAACAAATACATGCAACAATGTTTTACTGTATTTTAATAAAGCTACAGAAAGTTTATTGTCTGTGGAATCTCTTTGTCTCAAATTATCCTCCCCTTAGTATACATGCTTCTGTATTAAGTATTTTTTCTGTGCACAAAACCATGTATTTACTATAAACTTACTATAGTCCTTCATCAGTCTCTTCACCAGAAGTATAGAAAAAAGCACCAAGGAATTTAGACTAGGCAATGGAGAGGCCTTTTATCAAGTAGTTAAAGCACAGGACTAGCAGTCAGAAATTCCTTTCTGCTCAGACTTCATCAGTGACTTTTCTTTAGTGTGGTCAGGTCACTCAACAGCCTCATCTATGAGGTACAGACACTGACATACATATCTAAGTAAGACAGGACTGCGCAGTCTAAGATGAGATCTTTGGCTGCAGCTCCTTTGTTTGGAGTTTTGTTTGGAGTAGCTTTGGCCCAAAGCTAATAGTATATTTTATTAGATTGGAAGTACACTTTTACAATATTACTCAAAGAAGTTGAGATAGATTTAATAATTTGTTTTTCTTAAATGTATTTCTTATCTAGAGAACAACCTGGTCATTCTTAATTGTAATAAACTTTACTTCACTTCCTTAGAAATGAGAATGTATCTTTTTCAGACCAGGCACCATCCCTTACACTTGACTAATTACTGAGGCTTTGTCTCAAATTAAGCTTTCCTCCCCTCAGTGCATATATTTCAGTGTGAAGTATTTCTTCCGCTGAATCTCATAATTTATATGAGTCTGTAAAATAACACACCTGATATGAACATTAAATAGCATAAACATGGGTAGTATTGGTAGGTAAATGTCATCTATTGGATGAGACCAGACATGATCATTTTGAAGAGATGCATTTTGAGTGATTTTTCTACAAATACCATAACTGTGTGTAGACTTGAAATAAGGAAAGGTATCCTTAAGTGACAGAAGGGATCCTTTGATTTAAGGGAGCAGAGCTTTGAAGTTTGGACTAAATGATTTCTAGAAGTCCCTCCTAAACTATTTATTTCTATGATTGCGAGGATTCTCCATCTTGTATAATGAATTTCTAATGAAAAAGAAGAGTATGACTAAATTCTTATAAATATAATCCCAAACAATCCCTAGTTTGTCTTTGTTGTGGAATACTAGAGCTACTTTTCTCATTATCTACCATTTAAAGAAGCTAAGTAAGGAAAACAATAGAAACTAATGGTAGCATGGATTTCCTATGCAGGGTATTTTGATTATGTGATCTGCTAAAAATCCCCACATATTTGTATAGTTTTGAAATGGATGCAGAACAGAGAACCTATGGTTGATTGATGCGAATAGATGAGTACTAACTAGAGTCTTGATTCTTTCTTCAATCTACCAAATACATCTTCAGAAATACATTTTCATAAAAGTTTTAATTAAGTTTACAACTATCCTTGGTGTATTCTTTTTATCCCTGTGTTAATAGAATGGGTCAAACCATATCAGACTGTGACACTTAATGGTACTACCACTCCTTTTTTTCTTCACTCACCTTTTACATAACTTCCCATATGTAAAGCTGCTGTCAGTCAAAACCAAATTAGAGCAGATGTACATGATTTAAAAAGAATAAGAGTACTCTACCTGGTGAGGAGATGTGAACCTTTTTTCATATGTCAGTTGACTTCCTTCTGTGGAGAAGCGGAAACTTTTCCTTCTGATACTGTCTTCTGACTCAGACTTGGGGAACTTATCAACATCTCCTTTGTCCTCTGCTTCAGACATTTCTTTCTGTCTTCTTTTCTTCCTTCTGTTTCTTCTTTCTTTAGCACTCTTTGAGCTCAACTTTGATGCTTCTGAAGAACTTTCCAAGAGTTCTCCTAATCCCCCTATACCACTGAAATCTCTTGATGCAACTGATGCTGCTGCTACTGCTGCTGTTGCCTGTCAGGTTACAAAGCAAAGTATTCTTAGTAGGCCAAAAATTAACAATTTTATAGGCTTTTATCAATTGTTTTTATTATCACAGTGGTAATACTGCTGTTGCACACCTTTGAGTATACAAATATACACAAACAAATTGAACTGAAGATAAATTATTGAGTTGCATAGCTCCTCATTAGTAGCATGAGCTACTTGAAGCATCAACTTCAGCAGAACAATAGCATCACTATTCCTCAAAGACTTGCTGCACAAAACACTGGTCTAAAATTAAGGTACTCAGAAAAGTAAAAACATGGTTCTTTTTCATGTATTTCAGACCTGCTTCCCCATTTTCTCTCAAGAAAAGCCCCACATCATGCTCTAATTCCACTGATCCCTTCTGAGTCCTTACAGAGAAAACTAATCCCTAACATCCACCGTGTGAGTTAGTATGGGAAGCCAACTAGCATCCTGCAAATAGTTGAATCCAGTCTTTCCTCACTGTCTTCACAGCAAGGACACTCCACTCACTTTCCTTCTGCCTTTACTGGCAAAAAGTACACCCTCCAGACATGTCTTCAAGCCCTACCTCCCTCTTCATGTTTCCCTTCCTAGATTTCCCACTGTAACAACACTCTAGGTCTTTGTTACAGACACACAAAGGTACATTTATTGACTGTTGCTGCTGCAATCAGAGAGAAGAAAAAGTTTAGGTTTCTTCTCTGATGGAAAGGGATGAGATGACCCAC